CAGATGGAGCGGCGCCAACCGCCGGCACAGCCGCGCAGAGCCCGGCGACGCCTGGGGGCTGGTGGGATCTGGCACGGCCACGAGTCCAACAAAGCATCGGGCGCGGTCAGTTGTGCCTACATGGGCATTGGCTGCTGAATCTCCCCAGGCTTACTGGGGGCGCCTCATATAGCAGAAATGCCCTGAGCTTCAGAACGGAACACAGCTGGGCAGGAACAAGCAGACGGTTTCCCCTCGTTGGCTTCGGTAATGTTCGCAGATGGCCCATTAAGCTGCCGCGCCAATCTACGACCACTGTGATTGAGAGAAATGAAAGAATAAGTTCCCTGCAGCCCTTGAATGCCAGAGAGTTGGCGGATCGCCTCCACAGCAATAATAATTTGTGGCCGGAGGAGATTATGATGAATTGTTGCAGACGATAAAGGAGAATGCAACATTCGTGCGCAGTGACGGCTACAAACGTCTGCGCGCGTCATCGAGCGGAGAAGCGCGGTTGGCGGATCAATTGCTTCAAGAAGTTACAGAGCGACCGGTTCTATCTGCAGAATATGCGATTCCGAATTAGGCGAAGTTCTTCGTTGCGCGACGTGATCGTTCAGTGGCGGGCGAACCGTGCACGATTGTCGATCGCATAGTGTGGGAAAAGGCTGCAATTCATGAGCATGCAGAGAAGGAGCACTGCGTCCACTTGACGTTACCTCTCAGAGTGAAAGAGGACAAATTTGAAGAGCAGAATTCAAACAATAACTGGACAAGGCAGCCCCACGGAACACCCGTAGGGACGCTACACGCGCTCCTGGAAGGATACCAACTTCTTCCCTCAGACCCCGGGCACGGGGGAAATGTGAAGAAGTCAATCATTGGAATATAGTATTGCGCATATCCTGACGACAACCCTTCGGCCCGCATGAGATACGCGATGGTGCAAGATACTTTAATGGTGGCTATTGGAACGCTGTAGAGATTGTATTTGGGAGTTGTCCGAAACCTATTACCCGTGATGGTGGCCCATAGCAGCAACGCATTGAAAATCATGATCAGGCAGTGATGACACTGAGATACGCATCTACCATTGGCACCCCGCCGCATTCACGGAGGGAGCACTTGGACACTGATGCGGAACCTACTGGGGGACTGCGAAGCTGCAGACAAAGACATCAACGTTGAGGGGGCAAAGGACCAACAAAGAGTTGACATGATGAACGAAGTCAGGAATCAGCAATGCCAGTGGGCCCCCGGGCTCCTTCCAATAGTCTAGCAAGAAAATGCGTCGCCGCACCTTGAATGCAATCCTCCGATGGAACATGTTTGGGAGTTTGAGAAGCAGAGGATGCCATCTCAGGTTCGAACACTCTCAGGTATCGCATTCTGCAATTTTCGTGGGTTGAACAGGTTGCACGGAACACCCAGCAGATGGTCTGGAACACACTGTTCTCTCAAGATTGGATGGCATATGAGGTGGCCTTTTCGCAAAGCACAATTCGAACATGGGAATTTTCCGATGAAGAAGTAGCCGATATAGGACAGAGTACACTGTCAGAAGAAGACAAGGCCCTCATCATGCGGAAAATGTGGACTGACGACGGGATGTACATTTGCAATCAATACCATGCTGTGAGGGCTGGTTTCGGGCATTGTCTGCAATGCCTCACCCCCGTCACGTACAGACATAACGTCAGAGTGAACTATTAACTCAACCTGGCAGAAATGAATTAATTGGTTGCTGCATGGACGAGCCTAGGACTGATTCCACGCCTAGACGTACCCCAAGAGGGGAAAGCGGCTCCAATATCATTTCTAGCAGGCTAAGAGCGATGAAAAAAGAGTTCTTGCGATGCGCTGGAAAATTTAAACAAAGCTGAACAACGCCAGCGCAAGTGGGTTAACAACCCACAGATACGTCTCCGGGCTGCTTTGGCAGGCTGTACGTTTGCAAATTCACAATCAGGGACCGCCCCTTCCTGGAAACCTGACAGCGCCACGACGCAGCCGCCCGCGCGTCTTGAGCCATATTTTAAGTATCTGGAACCACTGAAGCTCCGATGCATTGACTGGCTGAAGTTCAAGCATGGGGACATGCCCCAGACGCGGCCCAGGGGCGGCGGTTAATCTGGACGCCAGGTTCGGACCAACACGCTCGTCCGTTAAGGTGCTCTGCCCTTGCCGTTTTCGATTGGAATCATGTTAGTGCTGAGCAAATTTGTCCAGAGACGGGCTGGGACCAATGGGAACAAGAAATGGCGGCAAAATGAGGAATCATTCCATCGATTCAAGTGTTAACGGGCAACTTGAACGAAGCCAACCGAGTTCCCGTATCAAACACAGTTGGAGATATAGACTTCCGGATTACTGCTGAACTCCATCATCGGCCCAGCCTCACTGATGAAGCAATTGCAGCCCGCGAAGAGAAAGCTGCGATGTCGGATGGCGTATGCAATCAACACATTGCCCAGCGTCATTGGCTGATTATCCAGACGCGAACGCTGCCTTTTGGCTTGATCTGATTTCCAGCTCTGGCTGCATGTCAAGTACAAAGCACAATGTTGGCACATATGATAGGCCAGGCTTTATCAAAGTTGCGACGCAATTCATTCTTGCATAGCGATCGACATCCACGACCACGATGCCGTTAGACACTGACGTTATTCATGATGTGCCGCCTGAGTTGCCCGAGCTCGCGAACAAAATACGGGGCCAACCATTTGGCCGAATCCCCGCTCGCGGGAGACGGGGGCGGATACTGTCAGCTGTACGAGGAGTAATATTCTTATTCGCGCCTGCGGGCATCACTGCTGCATTTCCGGGATGCGAAGTACAGCGCGACATGAACTATACGAATGCAGCTCTTGAAGCTAGGCGCGATGCTCATGCGTTGGGTTGTCGAATTAGATCCGCCATTGAATCATGCGACCCACATCATGAATGGGCCAAAGGATTGGGAAATGAAGTGCCAGAGACCGCCAGGCAGAATTACGTGAGTACCCAAGAAGCTATTGTTTTCATGCGTACGTTTACGGAACTTCACTTTAGTGTCAAGGTCAGTCTTGCAAACAGCCGTTTAAAATTCTTCAGCACAGACAATGCCATTGTAATGACCAATCGCTTGAAGAAGAACAAGGAGGAGAGCGGCCCAGCCGACTCTCCCACAGAGACGATTCCAGCTGAGTCTCCAGCAGATGCAATCATGATAGCTGGAGAGGACACCCCGAGCGGCACCGCCACTTCGGGGCCGCGAGTTCAACGGCATTCTCGCCCAGCATCGAGACCGAGGTATCGGGAAGGGAGGCCATCCCATAGGACCGCCCCCTATGCTCCCGTGCCCGCCGGCCCAGCCGCGTCGAGCGCCAATTCTGGCTGGGTTGACTATGATTGGGTCCAGTCTTGGGCAGATGCGCCCATTGTAGAATCGGGCGGCCGCGCGAGCGATAGCGGCAGCCCATGGCCGGCCACGGGCGGCGGCTACGACGCGACGACCGACCGTGCGGACAAGAGTGAAAATGGAGAAGTTCAAGGGCACTGCGTACATGCATCTCGTCATCAGAATGTCACTGATCATACCAAAACCTGGCGTTGGTTTAGTTTGAACGACTACAACGACAAGTTCAAATGTGATTCTGGGATGCCGAGCACCCTGCCAGAGCCTCCGCCGCCGCCCGCGCCGAAGGCGAGGCCGCCTGTGAAGAACCAGAGCAAGAATCAGCCAAACCGCTGGAGCTCGAGCGGAAGAGAATATATATATATATATATATATATGACAATTATTCAAGAGATCAGTACCAGTGGAGCTGGAGCAACAGAGACACGTGGGATGATTCTCGAAATTGGAGAAATGAATGGTAGAGGTGATATACTACAAAAGGACCAGTACGACTTCGCCGATGCCGGTCCACAGTTCATCATGAAGTGGGTGCACCAGGTGTGCATGGGCATTGAGGCCTGAACTGGGAAATATTAGCTCAGGCGGGGTACGTCGGGTTACTTCGGTCTTCCACCCCCTGGCAACCACCGTTGAGCGGTAAAATGCTTTTGGGCTTCGCTCCAGTGGCTGTACATGTGTACAGGCCAGGTGGATTGGGGGTCGGGGCGACTCTACGGACCCCGCCGCGGGGGGAGTCAATGCACTCCTTCCGCGCCACCATCCTCTTGCCCATCTGGCTTCCTTACCTTGAACGCACTGTCTGCTGTACTGACTGTTTCTCTCCTGCAGCAACACTTTGGCTCTAGGGAAACGGAAAAGGAGCGAGCCTGCGGCGCGCGCGTGCGTCGGCCGGCGGGCCGGCCTCCCCCTTTCAGTGTCACTCTAGTGTATGCTTGACGGCATTATCCTTTCTTCCCCATGTCATCGGCGAAGCCCACCGACCATGATACATCAACGGGACATCTTGCAGGGATTATGAATATCCAGGCAAAAGACTGGAGGAGGAAGAGGAGGAGGAGGAGGAGGAGGAGGAGGCCGAGGCAGCAGAGCCAACAGAGGAGGAAGAGGATGACGACGGCGAAGTGAAGGAGGTCGGCGACCAGTTTCAGAAGGCCGAAGCGACCGAGCCGGCAGATGAGGAGGAGGAGGACGACGACGACGACGAGGAGGGGGAGGAGGAGGAGGAGGAGAAGGACGAAGAGGAGGGGGAGGAGGAGGAGGAGGAGGAGGAGGAGGAGGAGGAGGAGGAACAGGAACAGGAACAGGAGGAGGAGGAGGAGGAGGAGGAGGAGGAGGAGGCCACGGAGGACGCTGAGAGGCGCGCGTTGCTGCGCCCGCGTCGGCCGCGTCGGGCGCCCCCGTGGTGCGCTCGCTCCGGGGCCCTCCTCGGGCCCGAGGGCTCCGGGGCATGGCAAACGGCGTTGGAGCAGGAGGAGGAGGACAAGGACGAGGACGAGGACGAGGGGGAAGGATGGCGACCTCGGGTTTCTGCCATTTGGCTCGCCCGTCTCAGCGGTTCCCCGCCGGGCAGGGGCGACGTACGCACCGCTCCTCGGCGCGGCAGCCCCCCGAACCTTTGCAGGACTACCCGTACGCCTGCCTCTGCGACGCGGAGGGAGCGTGCCAGGAACCACGCCTCGTTTCCGGGAAGCCCGCCTGCTGCCGTCGCTCTCGCGCCCCCCCCCCCCAGTCGCCCTCCCCCGCCCTCTTCCCCCTCTCGCCATCTCCTTTCTTCACCTATTCCTCCTCCCCGCCTCCCGATCCTTCCTCTTTCCTTTCACCTTCCATCCACCCTTTCCCTCCGTCCGCCGGGTGAGGCGGGGAGGAGGGGGAACAGAGGGATTAGAGGCGAAATGTGGCGAGGATGGAAGTTTGTTGGCGGGAAGGATGGATTGCACGTGGATTTGCCCCTGCGACGTTATTACCGTAGGTTCGCGTCGTGTCGTCTGGCGTCGACCACGTCGCCGGCGTTCAAAGCGGAAAGACTTCCAGCATCGGTCGATGTTGAACGAATTGACGTTTCGGAAATGGCCGACCGTTCAAGGTTGAACCATCCCCGCGGTGTCAGAAACCAACGCCGAAGTCGGTACGACACGAACATGCCGTATTAGGTTTCGCTTAGGGTTGCACCCCGCCTTCAGGATACTGTCGCTTGGCCTCTTCCCTGCGCTCCCGCTTCCTCTTCCTCTTCCTCGCCGTAGGTTCGAGCCATGGGGACGGGGAGGAGGGCAAGGATTCGATCGGGAACGCTTGCTTATAGGATTGAGTTGATTGGCGGAGAAGGACAGGGCTAGATAACATAGAATAGGAATGGATTGTATGGGCTGGAAATCTATGGGATTGGGGGCGTCTCGGAACTGTCTTGGGGAATCCAGGGGCCGCCTCGGAGTCTTCTTGGGTTACCTTGGGGATCCCAGGGGGTGATTTTGGCCCATACATCGTGCTGCCTGAGGACTGTCTTGAGGCCCTCCTGGGGATTTTCTGTGGCGTAGACGTCAGGGGGAGGTCCAGGGACCGTCTCATGCCCTCTCTGGGCCAGGCTGGCAGGAGCGCGGGGAATGGGCGCAATTTCGGAACAGATTTTCGCTCCGTGGTCCCAAATTGGGGAAACCTTGATCCGTACGCGTTCCGAGAAGCTTGCAAAAAGCGAAGGGGCGAGGCTCGAAATTCTGAGCTCTGAAGACGTGCAGCTGAAGCCCCCTGTTCAGCTGGGAGGCCTGAGATCTCAGCTGTTTCAGCTGGCCTTATTGCCAAAATTGCAGTGCTTACGTATTTGTTTTTGGGTTGCGTGGAAAAGCTGCCCTCGACCTCGAAAACATGGCTAAGCCATGGCCGACAGCGACAGTTTCCTTCGGGTTTCAGTCTGGCTTGATGGTTGCGGGGCATTCCTAGACGATCTCGGACAGGTGTAAAGTGTTTTGTTCCGAATCCACCCACCCTTTGTTTGAGGAGGCCGTCAGCCGACTTGTGCTCTCTATGCCTGCAGGTGTGTTTTGTAACGAGCGGTGTGCCCATCAGCCTGTGAGAATGAGGGAGAAACAGCATGTAATACAACTCGCTGGTATGTCGAAACGGCAACGCAACTTGTATCTGATGCGGAGCACGCAGCCGTCAGCATTGCAGGTTCGATACGTGCGGTTTGTTCAGGAGTTTCCAGCAAAGGGTTGGCCCAGGGATCAGCATTTCAGATGTTCAGTAGCAGGAGGGATGTCATCGTGGAAGCCGTTCACGTGCCCGTCCAGATCCCAAGTGTCGCGACGCTTGGTGTAATACCAGATGCCCCTCCCGAGGGCGACGCCATGGAGACGAGCTGCAAGGGCCGACCGGGAGATAATGCTGCTGTGCGCCGCGCAGGCGTGCGTGCCCGCCCACTCCAGGCGCAGTCGGGGTCTAGTGGACTTCAAGACGGAAATGTTCAGCCGGATGGGGATTATTCGGATAGTTGTTCGGTGTGTGTGTGTGTGTGTGTGTGTGTGCGTGAGTGTGTGTGTGTGTGTGTGAGTGTGTGTAGGGGTTCAGGCTGCATTCGGCCAGTCGGAGGCCTGCTGTTTCGGCGCTTCATAGTCGTGCTGGAGTCTTGTGGATGCGACGCGGGAGCTCGGGACAGCAAGATAGGATATGACTTTTGGATCATCATGGCATTCGGCCTGTCGCAGGTATCTTCCCCCACTCCAAGCGAGAACATCGAAAATGTCTGAAAGAGCGTGTTCTGTGGTCGCTTGGAGGGGGGGGGGGGTTGGAACCGGACCGCCACCCCCCCCTGGATGGAGGGGGGGAGGGTTCGAACTCCCCCCCCCCTCCCGTGACGGAGGGTGGGGGTTCGAACCCCTCCCCCCCCCTCCCCTACTTCTCCTCTCTCCCTCTCCTCGGCTGGCGGCGACGGCGGCGGGAACGACGATTTCCTTTTCTGGGCCGGCGCCCGCGCCTGCGGCGGCGGGCGGCGGCGGCAGGGAGCGTCGACGAGGACGACGGTGGTGGTGGTGGTAGTGGTGGTGGTGGTGGTGGTGGTGGTGGTGGTGGTGGTGGGTTGTGGTGGTGGTGGTGTGGTGGTTTGTTGTGGTGGTGGTGGTGGTGGTGGTGGTGGTGGTGGTGTGGTGGTTGGTGGTGTGGTGGTGGTGGTGGTGGTGGTGGTGGTGGTGGTGGTTGTGGTGGTGGTGGTTTGGTGGTGGTGGTGGTGGCGGTTTGTGGTGGTGGCGGTGGTTTGTGGAGGTGGTGCTGGTGGTGGTGGTGGTGGTGGTGGCGGTGGTGGTGGTGTGGTGGTTTGTGGTGGTGGTGGTGGGTTGTGCTGCTGGTAGTGGTGGTGGTTGTGGCGGTGGTGGTGCTGGCGTGGTAGATTGTGGTGGTGATGGTGGTGGTGGTAGTGGTGGTGGGTTCTGGTGGTGGTGATGGTGAGTTGTGGTGGCAGTGGTTGTGGTGGTGGTGGTGGCTGTGGTGGTGGTGGTGGTTGTGTGGTGGGTTGGTGGTGGTGGTGGTGGTGGTGGTGGGTTGAGGCGGTGGTGGTGGTAGTGCTGGCCGAGGATGGGGGGGGGTCAAAACTCCTCCCCCCTCATTGGGAGGGGGGGGGGTCGGGGGGGGAGGGGTTTGGGGGGAGGAGTGTCCCGTGTCCCCCTGGTTTGATCGACGGCCCCCCCCGGTTCGAAACGCGCCGCCGAATGTTCCCGAGGCAAGCGCCCGTGAAACGCGTTCTCTCAAATGTCTCAACGCGAACAGAAAAGAACAGAAAAACATGGCAGACTCATCAATCAAAATGTTCTGTTGTTCTTGATTTGACCCGGGTTTTTCTTACAAGGCACAGGGCCCAAGTCAACATTGAGAGGTACCCCCCCTTAACGTGGACTACCCACCAAACGTAACCCAGACCTCGGTGACACCGAGCCCGACTCGCGCGGAATGGGCGTGACACCTGCATTATGGCGACACGCTTGTCTCGGAATGATGCTCTGGCTTGAGCGTGGGCCATATCTCTGAATGAAAATGCTGCTCCTCGGGCGCCAGCGACGTCTTTCATTGAGAAAGTCGTTCTCGCCTAGGCGCCAGCCAAACGTCTGATCGAAATTGTTGCTGTCGCTTGGGCACCAGCGACGTCCCTCATTGAGAATGTCGTTATCACCTTAGCGCGGGCCATATGTCTGATTGAAATGTAGTTGTTGCCTCGGCGCTGGCGACATCCTTCATTGAGTGTGTCGTTCTAACTATGGCGCCTGCGACATGTCTAATCAAGACTGCTCTTGTCGCCCAGCGCCAGTCACGTCCTTCATTGAGCATATCGTCGTTTTCGCTGCTGTTGCGCCCGTCACATGTCTGATGACAAATGTGTGCTGGTGCCTGTAGTGCGGCTGTTTCCCATCGTGCTTCGTACTGGTCACACTGGTGCTGCTGGTTGCGTTTGTGTTGCTTCGCGTGGCGCTGTTGCTCCCCGTCGTGCTCGTCACAGTGGTGCTGCTGGTGGCGCTGGTGCTGCTGCGTTTGGTGTTGTTGTTTGCTGTCGTTGTGGTCACAGTGTTGCTGTTGGTGGCCTACGCTGAGTTTCGTGGTGTTACTGCTCCCCGTCTTGGTCGTCCTGCTGGTGCTGCTAGTGCCGCTGGTGCTGGTGCGCGTGGTGGTGGTGCTGCTGTTTCGTGCCGTGCTGGTCAACAGTACTGCCGGTGTTGCTTCTGTGGCTTGCGCTACTATTGCGAAGGCCTTGCGGCCAGCGCCGCCGACCCTGAAGGGAGACGACGACAACGACAAAAGCGGCGGCGGCGACGACGACGACAACGCTGACGTGGGCCAGAGTCCTCGGGGATGCTTCATGGGGTCTCTTCGGAAGGCTCTCGGGGGCCACTGGGAAGGAATTTTGGTGCTGCTTCTGTGGCTTGCACTACGATTGCGAAGGCCTTACGGCCGGTGCCGCCGACCCTGAAGGGAGAGACGACGACGACGACGACGACGACGACGATGACGACGACGACGACGACGACGGCAGCCGCGGCGGCGGCGGCGGCAACGACGACGACGCTGACGTGGACCAGAGTCCTCAGGGATGATTATTGGGGTCTCTTCGGAAGTCTCTCGGGGACCTCTGGGAAGAATTTTGGGGCCTCTTGGGAGCCTCTTGGGGGCCTCTTCGGGCTTCCTGGGGACCTCTTGCGGGCCTCGTGGGGTCTCTTCAAAGCCTCTTGGGGCCTCCTGAAAGCCTCTTGGGGTCGAGGGCTCGAAATGTCCGTTGGGGTCCCCCGTCTGGGCACGCTGTTGGAGCCGTCTTGCGGGCCTCTTGGGCCATCTTGGAGGCGTTTTGGGCTGTATTGAAGTCCTCTTAGGCTGTTTGGGACCGTCTTGGAGGCCTCTTGGGGCGATCTTGGGGGCCTCTTGCGCCATTTTGGAGCGGCGGGAAGTGGAAAAGGCGAGAACGCCCAAATCTGAAGTCAATGAATTTGGCCTCTTGGGGCCCTCGTGGGGGTGCTCTTGCAGGCGTCTTGGGGTGTTCTGGGGGCCTCCTGGGCAGTCTGGAGGGCGTGAAGGTGTTTTGAACCGATCGTTTGGCGATTGGGGGCCCTCTTGGACGGTCTCGGCGGCCTCTTGGAGCACTCTTGGCATGTCTTGGTGCTTTCTGAGGCCCCAGGGCCCCCAGGGGTGGATGCATATCTAATCCCCCCCCTGGGGACCCCCCCCAGGACCCCCGCTCCCCCCCACCGGGGAAGGATCAAAGAGAAGGGGCTTCCTTTCGACTCGATTACGACATTGCTAGATTTTTCTCTCGCTGGCAAGCTTAAAGAGGAGGGCGCAGGGAAATGAGACGACGGAGACGACGACTCACAGAGACGACGACTCGAACAGACAAGCCCCTCACACGCCGACAGGGTCGGCGGATTGGGCTTTTGATTTTGGCGATGAGGAAGTTTGAGGCGAACGACCCCATATTGCGAAGGCCTTACGGCCGGTGCCGCCGACCCTGAAGTCGACGAAGATGAAAACGAGCGGGGGGGTAGGAGGCGGAGGAGGAGGAGGAGGAGTTGGGGAGGAAGAGGAAGGGTGGAGGAGGCGCGGATGAGGGATGAGGAGGGGGGGAAAGGATGAGGAGGAGCAGGAGGAGGAGGAGGAGGAATGGGGAGCAGCGAGAGGAATGCGGAGGAGGAGGAGGAGGAGGAGGAGGAGGAGGGGGAGGAGGGGAGGAGGAGGAGGAGGAGGAGGAGGAGGAGGAGGAGGAGGAGGAGGAGGAGGAGGAGTGGGAGAGCAGCGAGAAGAAGCGAGTAGGAGCAACCAGTTCTGGAAGCCTCGGCTCTCGACGGAAATGGGAGGGAGACGGCGGGGACAAAACCTTGTCCGAAAATCAACGAATATTGCCTCTCTGGGCCTTCTTGAGAGTCCTTGTGGGGCTCTTTTGATCCGTCTGAGGGCCCCCTTTGGCCGTCCTTAGGCGTTCTCGGGCTGTCTTGTGGGACTTGGGCCGTCTAGGGGCGCTCTTGCAGATCCGTCGTGGCGACCCCCCCCCTCCTCCAGCGCATCTACAGAGGGCCCTTCTGTAAAAGCCGCAAACGGGGGATGGTATTTTGACCCGGGGCCCCACCCCGGGATCCCCCCCGGGACCCTCCCCCCCCCCCTTGGCGGGGAAGGGATCAAAAGGGCTTCCCTTCGACTCAATGGCAACGTTGTTAATTTCGCTTTGGCTGGGTTGCTTCATTTCGCTGTGGCTGGCGCGCTTGAGGACGAGGGCCCAGGGAAAGAGGGGGGGAGCGGCGATGGACCCAGAAAAGAAGAGGACGAGTACGTGCGAGGACAACAACCACGACGAACAACGCATTCCACACGCCGACAGGGTCGGCGGATTTCTGCTGCTGCTGGCGTTGGTGTTGCTGCTGATGCTGCGCATGGTGCTGCTGCTTCTCGTATTGCTCGTGCATCGGGACACCTCGCCCACGATCACGACGGATGCTCTCGCCCCACCAGTGGACACATCCACTATATCGGCTTTGTGCTGGCCCCAGTCACATCCATGATTGCGAACGTTGATTTCGCCGCAGCGCAGGCCACATCCATGATCGCGAATTTGCTTTCGCATCAGCGCCGTCCACATCAATGAATGCGAAAGTTGCTCTCGCCTCAGCGCCTGTCACATCCGTTATTGCCAACGTCACTCTCGCCTCAGCGCCAGCCACATCCACGACGACGATGGCTGCTGTTGCCTCAGCGCCAGCCACACCCACGACTGCGAACGTGACTCTCGCCTCAGCGCCAGCCACATCCGTGATTGCGAGTGTTGCTCTCGCCTCGGCGCGGGCAATATCCACGGTTGCGAAAGTTTCTCTCGCCTCAGCGCTGGCCACACCTACGATTGCGATAGTTGTTTTCGCCTCAGCGCCGGCAACATCCATGATCGCGAATGTTGTTCTCGCCTCAGCGCCGGCCACATCCACGTTTGCGAAAGTTGCTCTCGCCTCAGCGCCGGCCACATCCACGATTGCGAAAGTTGCTCTCGCCTCAGCTCTGGCCACATCCATGATTGAGAATATTGCTCTCGCCTCAGCGCCGGTCACATCCATGATTGCGAAATTTGCTCTCGCATCAGCAATGGCCAGATTCTTCACTGGAGACGAAGAGGGATTAGTGATACAGTTGACACTGTTGAGTTGCAGGTTGCTGTGTCGCCCCATTCTGGCGCATCATTTGCCACAGCGCGCGCGTGACACACTTGTGTCGCCGAGCTGTTGGTCACGTTAGCTTGAATGGGTCAGGTTCGCTTTGGCGCAGTGTCGACAGGGCCTGGGTTAGGTTAGGTTAGGGATTTCCCACGGTAGGGGGGGCTTGTACCAAGAGAGGCCCGAAGAGGCTCGAAGAAATGCCCAAGTGGCAGAACGTAGCAGCACGCAACAGCAAGCCTCAGCACGCAGCAGCAACCAGCTACTGTGTCGTAACGTTACCCTGTCCTGTGTCGTAAACTCTGCACAAGACGTGCGCGGGGGGTTCTAGGGAGCATGCCTGATCATAAAATACAATGAGATGGCGAGCATCGGCGCGAACAGGCAGTTGTGGGTTGCGGCGCTAACGGGCAATGCCCCAAAGCTCCAGGGACCGCGCTGGCTGCTCCCATTGGAGAAGACCTCGGCCTCTCTCTCTTTCCTGCCTGCTCGGGCCGGTCCGAAGGTGGGTCAATGCTCAGTTGGTTTTGTCTGTGGACTCAGTAATCCATTACTGCTACTCTTTTCGCGATGCGTTTCGATCGGGTGCGTCGATCTCAGTGGTTCCGATCGGTTCGATCAAAAACGTCCACGCGCTCGTCCATACCCCGTGCATGCGAGTCAAACTCGTGCTCGATCCGACTGGTTGATCTTCGATGCCCGCCGGCATATTGGAGAAAGGATGAGGAGGAGAAAGGGGAGGAGAAGGGGGAGGAGAAGGTGAGCACTTGGGGAGGACTGGCGAGGAGGAGGCCCACCCCTTGGTGGGAGGGGGAGGACGAAGCTCCAGTCCGATCGACCGATTTTCAACGGGGTGACGGGAGAAAGCAGGGTCGATTGCGCCGACATTCGCGTGTAAGTGTTCCGCGTGAGGTCGTCCGTAAGCGCCCTCTTCTCCGCGCGGTGTGCCACGTTTGCAGCCTGCGTAAGCCACCGCACCGCGTAAGGTCGCTATGTCATCTCGTGTGCGACTCGTTTCTTTTCGTCGGTCAAGTGCGTGCCGCTGGCGACTCCTCCCCTCCGCAGGCGGTGTTCGAGCTGCTCTGGTTGCGCTCGGCGGCGTGGTCGCAGCTGCCACGGCGCTCTCCTGAGCCGCTCGGGGCATCAGCGCGCACTGGGGAACGCGTCGCGCCTGCACACCTGCTTGCGCCCCGTGTCCCTAAAGTCCCTCGCCCTTCACCTGCATGTTTCTCCCTTCCCCCTTTTTCGCCGCCTGATCGACGGAAGAAATTGGGGTCGACTGCGCGGACATTCGCGCGTAAGGATCCCGGGTTTGGGGTTGTGGGCTTCGGGTTTGGAGTCTTGGATTTAGGGTTTAGGGTCCACTAGCCCATACTCGCAGCTTGTTGGACGTGTCCCACCCACCCATGACCCAAAACATACCGCAGTTGCTGCAGCAACAACACCCCCCTCGGCAGCCACAGCAACTGCCGCAGCACCCACAACCACAGCCGCACCACCAGCAACAGGTGCTGCAGCAACAGCAACAGCAGCCCCAGCAGCAGCAGCAGACCCTCCCCGGGGACGGGAAACCCGCGAGCCTCAAAGTACCCTCTCTGACGACCAGAAGGAGGCGCCCCTGCCCCCTGACAGCCTCCTAGGCACCTCTGGGAGCCAGCAGAACCCACGAGAAGACTCAGAGGTACCCTTGCTCCTTCAGCAGCAGCAGCAGCAGCAGGGCAGAGAAAAGGAGAGGGAGGCCGCGGCGGAGTCGGCGGAGGCTGCGGAGGCCGCCGAGTATCGGGGGCCCGAAGCGGCGGAAGCCCCTGAAGGTGCGGAAGTGGCACAAGCCTTCATCCGAGTCTCTGGATTAGAACCGGGCGGGCAGGGGGCGGCCCTCGAACGTGCTGGCGGCAGCCGCGACAGTCAGCTGAGCGAGATCCCGGAACAGCAGGGGCTCGCCTGCCACACCGTGCCACCCCCACCTCCCCCTCAAAACAATCAGACCGTGAGCAGTCCTCTGGGGGCGCCGCAGACCCAGCAGGGGGGCCACGGACCAACCGTCCAGACGCAGGACAGCGAAGCCATCCACTGGCTCGCCGGGAGAAACCCCTTCGCGCCTATTCGCCCCCCTTCCCCTGCCAGTGAACCCATTCTAATGGGCGGCGAACCCCGGGCGCTCTCCCCAGACGTCCAGGGCGCGACTGACGAAGAATCTTGCGCTCTGGCAACGGAAACTGCGTCGCCGCACGCGCGCGCGCTTGGCGCAACCAGCGGCGCCCCCGAGACCGGCGCGTTGACCGAAGGGGGCGCACCCGGGAGCGACGGCGGGCGCAGGCCCGAAGGCGAACGCCAGCGAAAGGGGCCTCTTCCCCACGCGCCACAGGGCAGCGCCCGCCCTGGCTGCCCGAGACGACCCGACCCCCGCCCGGCGCCCGACCACGCGGCCCGCCTGTCCCCGCAGAACCCCGCCAGGCGTGCAGCCGGAACTGTCGCGAGCAGATCGCGAGCCCTCCGGCCAGGACAGCGAGGCTGGTGCGCCGGGGATTTGCGGCCAGGATACACGGCAGCACCAATGGCTTGACCCGCGCCAATGGCCAGAGCCCACGGACCCCGACACGGGACAGCAGCTGTACAAAACAAAAACCAACAACGTCCAGTGGGGCCTACCTGGGGAGACCCGGCGATGCGATAAGGCGGCTCCAAATTACATTGGGAACAATGTTCGCAGGCGCCTGGCGCGCTTTCGCCAAGCGGCCGTCCGTGCCTGGCAGCAAAGGCGCGCTCGACCCGCTTCGGCACGACCCGCAGACCTGCCACCTCTTCCTGGAATCCTTCCGCAGCCACAAGTGCGACGCACGGGTCGTCAGCGACGCGCTGGGCCTCGACCTCGACTGGACTCGGCTGTGGCACCTGCGCCCGGGTCGAAGCGGCGGAGCGAGCAGGGGTCACCACGCGGCAAAGGGCCGCCCGGGCACCCAGGCACCCAGGAAGGGCAAAAAACAGTGGCGGGCCGTCTCCCCGCAGTAGCCGTTGCTGCCCCACCTCGTGGCATCGCACGAGCGGGGATCAGGCGCGAGGAGGATGGTCACTGGCAGCAGGCCCGTTGTTGCCCAGCAAAACGCGGCTTGCGAAATGGATGCATCCGGACCCTGCGGCCTCAACAAATCCTCGCGCTAGACGTCTGTCTGGGCAACCTGGAGGCGTGAAACCAAGCGTCTCGCTCGAGACACCCTCAAGACCTGGGCACGTGAAAACAAGCATTTCACTCGAGAGATCCTCTGAGTCCAGGTCCCCCGGAGAGGACAATCTTCAACACAAAACAAGCGTTTCGCTCGAGACATCCTCAACACATTCTTTTTTATATAAAAAATCCCTTGGGACATCCGCAAATGTGTATTCGCCAGCCCTACGCGAACTCGTTATTTATCGCAAAAGAAATTCGCCGGCCCTACAGCCGTCAGATCCGGGGGTAAACAGCCAAAAGAGAACCCTGGGCCCACGCCTTTCCCGGGAAACATGATCGACCCACGAACCCGAAAAAGGAATATAGAACTGTAACACATGGCAGCGTTTTCAAAGACACCTGATTAGGCGACGGGCAACTGCAACGCTGAGTGGATCGATCTTGATGTACCCTGCCGAGGGCTGTGCTGTGCTGCACCGTGCTGAATGGCGATGTGCCATGGCGCAACTGTGCTCTATAGCGTCATGGATCGAGTCCTCCTTTGCATCCGAGCCCTGACCGAACTGATCTGGATCTTAAGCTCGAGCTGCCTGAACACGTAGCAGCTGCCCCAGAGCTAATTGACAAGGGGAACATGCCAGGAGGACGCGCCGCGAAACGTCCCAAGGGATGGCGCCACGCGGCGTGCCAGGGGACGTGCCATGGGGTCGCACCGCGGGCCGTGCCAAGGGGACGCGCTACGGAACGTGCCAATGGATGCGCCACGGGATGCGCCAGGGGACGCGCCACGCGACGTGCCAGGGGGACTCGCCAAGGGACGCCCCGCGGAACGTGCCAAGGAACGTGCCAAGTGTCAATGCTGAGTGTATCGATCTGGATGTACCGTGCCGAAATCTGTGCTGTGCTGCGCCGTGCTGAATTGCGATGTGCCATGACGCGATTGTGCTTTATAGCCTCGTGGATCGAGTCCTTCTTTGCATCCGAGTCCTGACCGAACTGATCTGGATCTTAAGCTCGAACTGCCTGAACACATAGTAGCTTCCCCATAATTAATTGACAAGAGGACATGCCAGAAGGACGCGACGCGGAACGTCTCAAGGGACCCGCCAGGCGACGTGGCACGGGACGTGCCATGGGGACGCACCGCGGGACGTGCCAAGGGGACGCGCTACGGAATGTGTTGGGGACAAGCGCTTCGCTCGAGACATCCTGCCAACATCCTCAGAATTCCTGCGCGCGGGACGCGGCACGCGCGAGACATCCTCGGAATTCTTGCAAACGGGACGTGAAAACAAGCATTTCGCCAGAGACATCCTCTGAATTCTGGACCCCCACGAGGCCCCCGCTCGAGACATCCCCAATTTTGCAAAACCAGCGTTTCGTTCGAAACATCGTCAACAAATTATGAAAGACAAGCATTTCGCTCGAGACATCCTGCCAAAATTCAAGGAAATCCTGGCAAAACAAACGAATTAGTCGAGACATCCTCGAAATTCCTGCGCGCGGGACGCGGCACGCGCGAAACATCATCGGAATTCCTGCGCGCGGGGCGCTTTTCCGCGTCGCGGTCGGCTCTGCAAAACCAGCGTTTCGCTCGAGACATCCTCCACAAATTCTTAAAACAAGCGTTTCGCTCGAGACATCCCCAACTTTGCAAAACCAGCGTTTCGCTCGAGACATCCTCCAACAAATATTAAAAACATGATCGACCCACGAACCCGGAAAGGAATATAGAAAGTAACACATGGCAGCGTTTTCAAAGACACCTGATTGGGTGACAGGCAAGTGCAATGCTGAGTGTATCGATCTTGATGTACCCTGCCGAGGGCTGTGCTGTGCTGCACCGTGCTGAATTGCGATGTGCCATGCCGCGATTGTGCTCTGTAGCCTCGTGGATCGAGTCCTCCGTTGCATCCGAGTCCTGACCGAACTGATCTGGATCTTAAGCTCGAGTTGCCTGAACACATAGTAGCTGCCCCAGAGCTGATGGACAGGGGAGTATGTCAGGAGGACGCGCCACGAAACGTCCCAAGGGATGCGCCAGGCGACGTGCCAGGGGACATGCCATGGGGTCGCGCCGCGGGACGTGCCAAGGGGACGCGCTACGGAACGTGCCAATGGATGTGCCACGGGATGTGCCAGGGAACGCGCCACGCGACGTGCCAGGGAGACTCGCCAAGGGACGCGCCACGGAACGTGCCAAGGAACGTGCCAAGTTGCAATGCCGAGTGTATCGACCTTGATGTACCGTGCCGAAATATGTGCTGTGCTGCACCGTGCTGAATTGCGATGCGCCATGCCGCGGTTGTGCTCTGTAGCGTCGTGGATCGAGTCCTCCTTTGCATCCGAGTCCTGACCGAACTGATCTGGATCTTAAGCTCGAGCTGCCTGAACACATAGTAGCTGCCCCAGAGCTAATTGACAAGGGGACATGCAAGGAGAACGCGACGCGGAACGTCTCAAGGGACCCGCCAAGCGACGTGCCAAGGGACATGCCATGGGGATGCACCGCGGGACGTGCCAAGGGGACGCGCTACAGAACGTGCTGGGGACAAGCGTTTCGCTCGAGAGATCCTGCCAACATCCTCAGAATTCCTGCGCGCGGGACGCGGCACGCGCGAGACATCCTCGGAATTCCTGCGCGCGAGTCTTCCTTTGCATCCAAGTCCTGACCGAACTGATCTGGATCTGAAGCTCGAGCTTCCTGAACACATAGTAGCTGCCCCAGAGCTAATTGACAGGGGGACATGCCAGGAGGACGCGCCGCGAAACGTCCCCAGGGACGCGCCAGGCGACGTGCCAAGGGACGTGCCATGGGGTCGCACCGTAGGCCGTGCCAAGGGGACGCGCTACGGGACATCCTCAAAATTCCTGCGCGCGGGACGTGGCACGCGCGAGACATCTTCCGAATTCCTGCGAGCGGGACGTGAAAACAAGCATTTCGCCTGAGACATCCTCTGAATTCTGGCCCCCCACGAGGCCCCCGCTCGAGACATCCCCAAGTTTGCAGAAACCAGCGTTTCGCTCGAGACATCCTCAACAAATTATGAAAAACAAGCGTTTCGCTCGAGACATCCGGTCAAAATTCTAAGAAAT